GCACAAATGAGAATAGCAACATCGAAATTCTTGCAATCGGTTGGATTTTTATATGAAGGCGAGACGAGATGATAGATACCAAGCAACGGCTCTGATTGGCTTTAACATGCGAAGTCCAGGCTTATCTTGGTCCCTCTTTCATCTCAATTGCGGACACTGACCTCCCCGCGGTGCCACCTGGGGAGCTATTCTCATCACCCGATGAAATAGTGAGCTAACATGTGCCGCGAGTTCACCCATAAGAACTATAAAAAAATGGGTTGAGGCGTCGGGTTAGCTGAACACCCTCGGAAAACCCAACCTACTATGAAAAAGCTAAGAAAATGAAAACCAAACCCCCCTAATGTTGACGACCCCCGCAAACGTATAAAGGACCACGATCTGCGAATCTGCACTTGGAATGTGCGCACGTTGTACAGAACAGGGGCAGTGTTCGCTTTGGCGGATATACTCAAGAAGTACAAAGCCGATATTATTGCCTTACAGGAAATGCGATGGAAAGGGACAGGCGTAAGTAAATCAGATGATTACGCCCTGTATTATAGCTGCCATGAAACGAGACATGAATTTGGGTGCAGATTTATGGTTAACAAGAGAATAAAAGACCTTGTCTCCAGATTCACTCCAGTAGATGAGCGAATTGCTATAATTTGCGCCCATGCTCCGACCGAAGAAAAAGATGAACAGACCAAAGACATATTTTACGAGCGCCTAGAAACAGCATATGACCGTTGCCCTGGCCATGACATTAAAATTTTGCTAGGAGATTTTAATGCAAAAATCGGAAGGGAAAATATATTTGGCCCCACCGTCGGAAAATTCAGCCTTCATGAAGAAACATCCGACAACGGCATGAGGTTGATTGACTTCGCGGCAGCAAAAAACATGGTAGTTAGCAGCACCAGATTCAAGCATCTCGATATACACAAGGCCACCTGGATCTCTCCTGATCAAGCAACGAGAAATCAAATTGATCATGTTGTGACAGACGGAAGGCATTCATCCAGTGTTTTAGACGTCTGATCGATCCGAGGAGCGAATATCGATTCGGACCATTACCTTGTGGCAGCCAAGGTACGCACCCGTCTTAATGTTGCAGCAACGGTGCGATCTAATACAACACGGAAACTCGACGTCGAAAAGCTGCAAACACAACAGGTAGCCGAGGCCTACTCCGCTCAACTTACCCATCTGCTTGAAGAAAGCACTTCTTGTCCCGATAATAGTATAGAAGCACAATGGCAAAGAATTGCCCACTCCCTACAAACTGCAGCAAAAAGAACAATTGGGAGTGTCGTAATGCTACTGATGTGAAAAACGCAGCGTATAGGGCAACCCTGCAGACAATAGCAACACGTAACGTGATGGAGAATTATCGGGAGAAAAGGAGAGAGGAGAAACGTGTTTTCAGAAAAAAGAAGAAAGAACAAGAAAAACGTGAGCGTGAGCAAATCGAGATGTACAGGAGTCAGAATGAAGTCCGGAAATTTTACCAACGAGTAAAACACCAAACCGAAGGCTTTGGTGCAGGCACATCCTCCTGTAGAGATGAAGAAGGAAACCTGGTGACAGATACAGACAGCGTGTTGAGGATCTGGAAGGAGCACTTCGAAAAGCTACTAGTATCAAATAGTGGCGATGAAGAAGATACCCCAGAACCAATAAGAGATGATGGTATAGAGTGTATACCACCTAGCTAAGATGAGGTCATAAAAGCAATTAATCGGCTCAAGAACAACTATTCAAGACTGGTGGCCAGATGCTGGTCAGGAGCATGCACCAGCTGATTAACACAATTTGGCTAGATGAATGCATGCCCAATGATTGGAACCTCAGCATCCTGTGTCCCGTGCACAAAAAAGGAGACAAGAGGATATGTGCCAACCATAGAGGAATAAGTCTCCTTCCCATCGCATATAAAGTGCTATCCAGTGTGCTGTGTGAACGATTGAAGCCAATGGTCAATGACATCATCGGACCATACCAATGTGGCTTCAGACCTGGAAAATCCACCATTGACCAGATTTTCACTCTGCGCCAAATCCTGGAAAAGACCCACGAAAAACACATCGACACATACCACATATTTGTCGACTATAAAGCCGCATTCGACAGCCCTATCCGTTCAGAGGTGTTTAAAGCCATGTCTGCGTTCGGCATTCCTGCAAAATTAATACGGCTATGCAGGATAACTTTAAGTGGCACAAGGTCAGCCGTTAAAGTAGGAAAGGACATATCGGAGCCCTTCAATACCGAACGAGGATTCAGACAAGGTGACAGTTTGTCGTGTGATCTTTTTAACGTCCTACTTAAAAAGGTCATACGTGACGCAAAGGTGAACAGAAATGGCACTCTGTACACCAAACAACACATGTTACTCGCCTACGTCGATGACATCGATATAATGGGTCGAACATTGCGAACGGTAACAGACACTTTGAACAAATTGAAAAGGAGTCTGCCAAAGTGGGTCTGGCAAGCTGGTGGTATCAACGCGCAAGACGTCCAGTAGACTCGGACCAACTGTGGAACTTGAGAACTACAGCTTCGAGGTAGTTAAAGACTTTATATACCTTGGTACCGCCATAAATAAAACGAATAATATCAGTTTTGAAATTCGGAGAAGGATTGTGATGGCCAACAGATGTTACTATGGTCTAAGTAAGCAGTTTAGGTACAAAGCCACCTCTCGCCAGACCAAACTCACACTTTATAGGACGCTGATACTACCCGTGCTATTATATGGATCAGAAGCATGGTTACTGGCGCAAGCAGATGAGGCAGCGCTTGGGGTGTTTGAGAGAAAAATTCTCCGAAAGATCTACTGGCCGATCTGCGTCGACGGTGAATTTCGGCGTCGAATGATCCACGAGTTCTACAATTTATACGCGGACTTCGACATAGTCAGTCGTATTGAGCTGCAGCGACTACGGTGGCTAGGCCATGTTGTGCGGATGAATGAAGATGCCCCAGCTCAAAAGGCATATAAAAGCGAGCCTACTGATGGTTCTCGCAGAAGGGGAAGTCCACGAATTAGATGGAAAGACCAAGTAGAAAACAACATCTTGGAACGTGGTCTTCCAAATTGGTGGACTTGCGCACAAGACCGACGCGCGTGGAAATCTCTTTTAAGCTCGGCTTATGGAACAACCGTTCTGTAACAAGCCAGCTAAGTAAGTAAGAGACGAGAAAACATTGACCTATATAAAAACATTTCCGCAAATAATTTCCCCTCCAGGAGGAACGCTGAATGCCACATAGATTCGCCAAGAATTTTATTCTGATCAAGAATATATTTTATGGGTTCCTCAAAGAATATTTCGAGCAATTAAGGTGCCAACGAAGTCCTCATCCAGGCATCTTTTTTCTAGAAGAAAATAGTAAATATGTGCGCCACACATATTACCACCACATTACCTTCTGAAGGCAATACTACATGGTATTATTCCCCAAATACGACTACATTGACAACAACTTGGCTTCCTCCTCAAATTACACAACATTGCTTTTTGAGAGAAATCACCCATTTTCATCCCATTTCCATGTCTCCAATGAGTAATATGACTTTGATTCATCCAATAACTACACTTTGTCCTGAATACACCTATATTGAGTACTGAAAGCTACATGCCATGGGTTCCTCCAATCAATATAGATGTCCAATAACTACGACCTCTTTACCTTCCTTGAATACGACTACATTGTTTCCTGGAAGAATACAATGTGGGTTCCTATAATAAACTATACTAAAAAGTGGGCATATAACCAATGTTTCAATTGGTAGAGTATAGATATCGAACACCAAGTGAGTTTGATTGAGGGAGCCATAAATGTATATGATCGTTTTAGGAAAAGACGGGTCCATAATAAAGCACGGCATTGTTCGGTATATTATGAGGTATCCAACATATGTCATTGCTTTGTAAACTATTCAAAAAATTTCATTGAAATTGAATCCAGTATTTTTGTGATTTTCTATTGGCAGAAAACACACCCCCCCCCCCCCACGGTCACTAAGTATGTCACGATGTATACTCAAGCGGGAAGCAAAAGTTATCAGCTACCCAGCTATGGCTTTCATTCATGTTTAATGAAAATGAAATGTTGATATGATATTATCGATTTGTATTTCCAACTTTGCAAGGAAATTAATACAGATAATATTCGTATTCCATATTGAAGATATGAACTACGTATCTCTATTTATCTTGAAATGTAAATGATGACAAACAAAAAAGTGATTAATAAAACAACAACAAAACAGATACATATTTTTTCTTCGAGAATATACCAATTTTAAAATGATATTTTTAGATAATAGCTTATCAGATATAAGCAAAAATATCTACAGTGCTCTATCGATAAAAGAAACCAGTCCTGTGCAATAAAGAAAAGCATAACGCCCAAGGGTATACTTTAATTTTTTCCAAACTGATGATCACAAGGGAAATGAATATTTTAACAAACATATTTAACCAGAAAATGTCTTTTTGAATAATTCTTGGAAAACGATTTATTACCAAAAAAATTGTTTATTTGGACTGATTTAGTGGAAGGTGATAAGAGCGAAAGAGACTGAATGATGTTTTCAAATGCCAATAAAATTCAGGAGCTCAAATATAATTACTTAGAATAGATATCGATTTGTTGTTTTGTTTGTTTGGTAATGAAAAAACAAAATCAAGTAATATTTTGTGATAAGAGATATTAAACCCCCACCAGCAACAGCAACAACATGACAATACCATTAGATTGCAAAAGTCTTTTCTTCGAAAAGAGTGGAATTAGAAAAAAGTGTAGCTGCTTGTGCACAGTAACAAACGTTAACACCAATAAGAAAGACTAGAGATAAGATTGCAAATAACTTCCAAAAATTCGAAGCGAAAAGTTAAAAAATGTCTTGACTCGATGATTGGAAAATTAGTCGTTAACCAACATCCGATTTTGAAAGTTGCGTGTAATGAAAAACGATCGTCTAAAATAAGAAAAAGAAAAGAGCAATGAAAGTTGTAGGAATTTTAGTAGCTTGTCTACTATTTTTCGGCCTAACAGAGGCATGGAGAACACCTACATTTTTACATGAAGCAGCGAAGAAGTTTGTTGGCGTTCATGCTTCGGAGGTAGAAAGCAATACCACATGGAGTCCTCCAGTAAATACAACAGGGGTTCCGTCGGTAAATATTACGACCTTGACTCCTGAGAAGAATACAACATGGGTTCCTCAAGTAAATACTACGACGTTACCTCCTGAGAGCAATACAACCTATGTTCCTCCAGTAAACACAACAACATTGCCTCCAGAGAGTAATACAACATGGGTTCCTCCAGTAAACACTACGACATTACCTCCAGAGAGTAATACAACCTGGGTTCCTCCAGTAAACACCACAACCTTACCTCCAGAAAGTAATACAACATGGGTTCCTCCAGTAAATACCACCACCTTGCCTCCCGAGAGCAATACAACATGGGTTCCTCCGGTAAATACCACCACCTTGCCTCCCGAGAGCAATACAACATGGGTTCCCCCAGTAAATACTACGACTTTACCTCCCGAGAGCAACACAACATGGGTACCTCCAGTAAATACCACCACCTTGCCACCCGAGAGCAATACAACATGGGTTCCTCCAGTAAATACTACCACGTTACCTCCCGAGAACAATACGACATTGGTTCCTCCAGTAAACACCACAACTTTGCCTCCTGAGAGCAATACGACATGGGTTCCTCCAGTAAATACCACAACCTTGCCTCCTGAGAGCAATACGACATGGGTTCCTCCAGTAAACACCACAACCTTGCCTCCAGAGAGCAATACGACATGGGTTCCTCCAGTAAATACCACAACCTTGCCTCCAGAGAGCAATACAACTTGGGTTCCTCCAGTAAACACCACGACCTTACCTCCCGAGAGCAACACGACATGGGTTCCTCCAGTAAATACCACAACCTTGCCTCCTGAGAGCAATACAACATGGGTTCCTCCAGTAAATACTACCACCTTGCCTCCCGAGAGCAATACAACTTGGGTTCCTCCAGTAAATACTACGACTTTACCTCCCGAGAGCAATACGACATGGGTTCCTCCAGTAAATACTACGACTTTACCTCCCGAGAGCAATACGACATGGGTTCCTCCAGTAAACACAACAACCTTGCCTCCTGAGAGCAATACAACATGGGTTCCTCCACTAATTACTACGACTTTACCACCTGAGAGTAATACCACATGGGTTCCTCCAGTGAATACTACGACTTTACCTCCCGAGAGCAATACCACATGGGTTCCTCCAGTTAATACCACCACCTTGCCTCCAGAGAGCAATACGACATGGGTTCCTCCAGTAAATACCACAACCTTGCCTCCAGAGAGCAATACGACATGGATTCCTCCAGTAAATACAACAACCTTGCCTCCTGAGAGCAATACAACTTGGGTTCCTCCAGTAAACAGCACAACCTTGGCTCCTGAGAGTAATACAACATGGGTTCCTCCAGTAAATACTACGACTTTACCTCCAGAGAGCAATACCACATGGGTTCCTCCAGTAAATACAACGACATTACCCCCCGAGAGCAACACAACATGGGTTCCTCCAGTAAATACTACGACTTTACCTCCAGAGAGCAATACCACATGGGTTCCTCCAGTAAATCCAACGACATTACCCCCCGAGAGCAACACAACATGGGTTCCTCCAGTAAATACAACCACTTTACCTCCCGAGAGCAATACAACATGGGTTCCTCCAGTAAATACTACGACTTTACCTCCCGAGAGCAATACAACTTGGGTTCCTCCAGTAAATACTACGACTTTACCTCCAGAGAGCAATACCACATGGGTTCCTCCAGTAAATACTACGACATTACCCCCCGAGAGCAATACGACATGGGTTCCTCCAGTAAACACCACAACCTTGCCTCCAGAGAGCAATACAACTTGGGTTCCTCCAGTAAACACCACAACCTTGCCTCCAGAGAGCAATACAACATGGGTTCCTCCAGTAAATACCACAACCTTGCCTCCAGAGAGCAATACAACTTGGGTTCCTCCAGTAAATACCACAACCTTGCCTCCAGAGAGCAATACGACATGGGTTCCTCCAGTAAACACCACAACCTTGCCTCCTGAGAGTAATACAACATGGGTTCCTCCAGTAAACACCACAACCTTGCCTCCAGAGAGCAATACAACATGGGTCCCTCCAGTAAACACCACAACCTTGCCTCCCGAGAGCAATACAACATGGGTTCCTCCAGTAAATACCACAACCTTGCCTCCAGAGAGCAATACAACTTGGGTTCCTCCAGTAAACACCACAACCTTGCCTCCAGAGAGCAATACAACATGGGTTCCTCCAGTAAATACTACGACTTTACCTCCAGAGAGCAATACAACATGGATTCCTCCAGTAAATACTACCATCTTGCCTCCAGAGAGCAATACGACATGGGTTCCTCCAGTAAACACCACAACCTTGCCTCCAGAGAGCAATACGACATGGGTTCCTCCAGTAAATACCACCACCTTGCCTGAGACCAATACAACACTGACTCCTGCAATTAATACGACCACAACATTACATCCGGAGAACATTACTACGACTGTACTACCCGAAATCAATTCCACGATGGATCATCCAGAAACAATCGAGAAATCAGACACGAAAATTGAAAACACCTTTTGGAAACGTGTAACGACCATGTTGAATGGAATTCATTTCTAAATTATTTTCCAAAAATAATAATAATAATAAAAATCTATAGCTTCGTATAGACTATAGAACAATTGCGCATAATAATTGTTTCGTAATTATTCAAAATATTGAAATATATCAAAAATTATATACAGTATTACATTTTCATATATATTTAGAGTTAGTTTTTAGTTTAAGGCCATTTTAAAATAAGAAATATACACAATCGATTTATATCACAAACTAAAGGAATTTAAATTAAAGAGATAAGATAATTATAAAAGTGATAATGACAGTCGCAATAGATTGCGAATATTACCAACTTCGACCGTGTTTTTCATACCCTTCACCACACTGTGGTACAGGGTATTATGTCTTTGTGCATATGTGTGTAACAGGCAAAATGAAACGAGATAGACCCATGGTTCCTTTTGAGAATATGCATAGAATCACTTTTTAAGTCGATTTAAGCATGTCCGTCCGTCCGTCCGTCTGTCTATCTGTCCATGTATTTTTGTGAGCAAAGTACAGATCGCATTTATGATCCGAATTGGATGAAATTTGGCACAGCTCATTTGTTTGGCCCAAGGACGAACTCTATTGAAATTGGGAAAAATCGGTTCAGATTTAGATATAGCTCCCATATATATTTTCGTCCGATTTAATGTAAATGGAGTACCAAAGTCCCTATATATCTTTCGATTTGCACGAAATTTGGCATAACGTACTGAATTAAGCCTAGAGTGATGTCTGCCAAGTTTCGTGAAAATCGGTCCATATTTAGATATAGCTCCCATATATAGTTTCGTCCGATTTCATGTAAATTGAGCACCAAAGTCCCTATATATCTTTCGATTTGCACGAAATTTGGCACAACGTACTCAATTGAGCATAGAGTTATGTCTGCCAAGTTTCGTAAAAATCGGTCCAGATTTAGATTAGCTCCCATATATATTTTCGTGCGATTTAAGGTAAATGGTGCACCAAAGTCCCCAAATATCTTTCGATTTGCAGGAAATTTGGCACAGCCTAATGATTTAGGTCTAAAATGATGTGTGTTAAGTTTCGTGAAAATGGGTTCCGATTTAGATATACCTCTAATATATATTTTCGCCCGATTTCATGTAAATGGTTAACCAAAGTCCCTAAATATCTTTCGATTTGCACGAAATTTGGCATACCGTAATTAATTAGTTCTAGAATGATGTGTGTCAAGTTTCCTGAAAATTGGTCCAGGTTTAGATATAGCTCCCATATATATTTTCGTCCGATTTAATGTACATGGTGCACCAAAGTCCCTAAATATCTTTCGATTTGCACGAAAATTTGGCACAGCGTAATGGTCTAGAATGATGTGTGTTAAGTTTCCTGAAAATCGGTCCAGATTTAGATATAGCTCCCATATATATTTTCGTCCGATTTAAGGTAAATTGTACACCAAAGTCCCTTAATATCTTGCGATTTGCACGAAATTTGGCACAGCGTAATGAATTAGGTCTAGAATGATGTGTGCTAAGTTTCGTGAAAATCGGTTCAGATTTAGATATAGCTCTCATATAATTTTTCGTCCGATTTAAGGTAAATGTGGCACCTAAGTCTTTATATATCTTTCGATTTGCATGAAATTTAGCACAGCGTACTGAATTAAGTCAAGAATGATGTGTTTTAAGTTTCGTGAAAATCGGTTCAGATTTAGTTATAGCTCCCACATATATCTTCGCCCGATTTAAGGTAAATAGTGCAATAAAGTCCCCAAATATCTTTTGATTTGCACGAAATTTAGCACAGCGTACTGAATTAGGTCTAGGATGATGCGTGTTATGTTTCGTGAAAATCGGTCCAGATTTAGATATAGCTCCAATATATATTTTCGTCCGATTTAAGGCAAATGGTGTACCAAAGTCCCTATATAACTTTCGATTTGCACGAAATTTGGCACAGCGTAATGAATTGCAGAATGACATGTTTAAAAATGCGACGTCTGTTAGGATTCATTTTTTTGAATATACCCAAAGTGGTGAAGGGTATCATATAGTCGGCTCCGTCCGACTTTACAACTTTCCTTACTGGTTATTTATGTCCCACTGTCTTGTTATGTCTTTATTGCCTTAGTTTTCTTAGCTGAAAGAAAAGACAAGGCGTTTCTTTTACTTCGTTCGGTTGTTCGTTTTTAAGTTGTTGTTTTTTTCCTAAAGGTCTACAATTAAATTTTATTTTATCGCATCGAATATAAAGTTGTGTGTATGTGTGCGAAATTTATAGCAGACAAACACGCATTTGTATACAAAGCTTGAGTAGCAAAAAAATATCCACCCGACACCATTTAAAAATACCATAGAAGTTTGCGGAATAGCTCTAAACACACACCAGAATCGGGGTATGGGTCGAGACATTTGTACAAAGGTGTTGAACCTTTTTCGTAAGACTCCAAAAGGTACTCGAAATGAAAGAAAAGCGTTTATATTTATTTTTTTGTTATTCATTTCTTAACAGGCCTTCAAGCGGCTTTTGACCTTTGTGGTGGTTTCGTCTTACCTGGCTGAAAAAATTCTTTGTTTTGTTTTTGCAATTTTTTTTTATTTGAAAATAATATTTAGAATTTTTTGTTGTTGATTTTGTTTTCTTGTGGGAAAGGTCATATTTTTTGACGCGTGACATGATGATAATTGTTTTTATTATTTTTAAAAATATTTTTTTTGTAAATAAAATATTCAAATGAAAGGTGTTGAAAGAAAAAAGCAAATAATTTTTTTTCTTATTTTTTTATCGGGTCACCCAGACATACTTCTAAGGAAATGGGGTTCAATTTCATTGGTATAAATTATTGTTTTTAAAAAAAATTGAAAAAAAATATTCAAAATTAATTTGTCCAAGTCCATGGAGGGCGATAAGGAATACTGGCCACAGGATCCTCTAGGGCAGGGGCGGAATTCTTGTGGCTACCTTAAAGAATTTTGAGAAAAAAAAATAATACCAAGAAATTTGTATACAATCTCAGGATATTGAAATAAACTTGCTGGTTTGTGTGTTTTCTTAAAATTCCTTCCTTTGAAAATGAGCCTTGCATGTCAATGGGCGTTACGCCATAACCTAATAAAAATTCATTTATTTTCGCTGAATTTTTGGCAGTTAAACAAGAACTACTAACATATTTATTACACATATTTATGGAGCTACACTCTTATATACATATATTGAATAAAATTTGAATAAATTATATTAACATTATAACTACATGGAAATTTTTTAGAAACCCCAGAGGTCATTGGTTTCAAGGGAAATAATTTTTTCCACGGCCTATATAAGGCGTGGATTTTTTAAATAATTTTTTCCAAGGCCTATCTAAGGCGTGGATTTTTTAAATAATTTTTTCCAAGGCCTATCTAAGGCGTGGATTTTTTAAATAATTTTTTCCAAGGCCTATCTAAGGCGTGGATTTTTTAAATAATTTTTTCCAAGGCCTATCTAAGGCGTGGATTTTTTAAATAATTTTTTCCAAGGCCTATCTAAGGCGTGGATTTTTTAAATAATTTTTTCCAAGGCCTATCTAAGGCGTGGATTTTTTAAATAATTTTTTCCAAGGCCTATCTAAGGCGTGGATTTTTTAAATAATTTTTTCCAAGGCCTATCTAAGGCGTGGATTTTTTAAATAATTTTTTCCAAGGCCTATCTAAGGCGTGGATTTTTTAAATAATTTTTTCCAAGGCCTATCTAAGGCGTGGATTTTTTAAATAATTTTTTCCAAGGCCTATCTAAGGCGTGGATTTTTTAAATAATTTTTTCCAAGGCCTATCTAAGGCGTGGATTTTTTAAATAATTTTTTCCAAGGCCTATCTAAGGCGTGGATTTTTTAAATAATTTTTTCCAAGGCCTATCTAAGGCGTGGATTTTTTAAATAATTTTTTCCAAGGCCTATCTAAGGCGTGGATTTTTTAAATAATTTTTTCCAAGGCCTATCTAAGGCGTGGATTTTTTAAATAATTTTTTCCAAGGCCTATATAAGGCGTGGATTTTTTAAATAATTTTTTCCAAGGCCTATCTAAGGCGTGGATTTTTTAAAGAATATTTTTTCCAAGGCCTATCTAAGGCGTGGATTTTTTAAAGAATATTTTTTCCAAGGCCTATCTAAGGCGTGGATTTTTTAAATAATTTTTTCCAAGGCCTATCTAAGGCGTGGATTTTTTAAATAATTTTTTCCAAGGCCTATCTAAGGCGTGGATTTTTTAAATAATTTTTTCCAAGGCCTATCTAAGGCGTGGATTTTTTAAATAATTTTTTCCAAGGCCTATCTAAGGCGTGGATTTTTTAAATAATTTTTTCCAAGGCCTATCTGAGGCGTGGATTTTTTAAATAATTTTTTCCAAGGCCTATCTGAGGCGTGGATTTTTTAAATAATTTTTTCCAAGGCCTATCTGAGGCGTGGATTTTTTAAATAATTTTTTCCAAGGCCTATCTGAGGCGTGGATTTTTTAAATAATTTTTTCCAAGGCCTATCTGAGGCGTGGATTTTTTAAATAATTTTTTCCAAGGCCTATCTGAGGCGTGGATTTTTTAAATAATTTTTTCCAAGGCCTATCTGAGGCGTGGATTTTTTAAATAATTTTTTCCAAGGCCTATCTGAGGCGTGGATTTTTTAAATAATTTTTTCCAAGGCCTATCTGAGGCGTGGATTTTTTAAATAATTTTTTCCAAGGCCTATCTGAGGCGTGGATTTTTTAAATAATTTTTTCCAAGGCCTATCTGAGGCGTGGATTTTTTAAATAATTTTTTCCATGGCCTATCTAAGGCGTGGATTTTTTAAATAATTTTTTCCATGGCCTATCTGAGGCGTGGATTTTTTAAATAATTTTTTCCAAGGCCTATCTGAGGCGTGGATTTTTTAAATAATTTTTTCCAAGGCCTATCTGAGGCGTGGATTTTTTAAATAATTTTTTCCAAGGCCTATCTGAGGCGTGGATTTTTTAAATAATTTTTTCCAAGGCCTATCTAAGGCGTGGATTTTTTAAATAATTTTTTCCAAGGCCTATCTG